CACACACACACACACACACACACACACACACACACACACACACACACCATTTTAGAGACTTAGGTAGATTGTTTCAAAGAGAAACTAATAGCCAATAACTATAGAAAAGCAATTCATTTCATCAGTAACCAGGAAAAATCAAACTTATGCATGGTTATGACAGTTGCCATCTTCAAACAACCAGATGCCTCTTGACTGGGACAGATGTCACCCATGGCAGAGTAGGCAAACTGAGTAATCACATCAGGGCTAAGATGTAGAATATTGAAAGGCTGCATACAAACTATTGAATTACTCACAGTTCAATAATAATCTAAACTATCTTGTTTAGACTCTGAAATAGAGAATACATGAAAAATAACAAGAATGAAATGCCTTCCAAGGTAGGGTGGTGATTACTTTTGGAAGCAGAACACAGTTTCTTCCAGGAAAAGCACATAAAGCTGTGGAAATCCCATGATTTGACCTGTGATAGATTCCAGAGATATCTTGTGACTAATTTAAATGGAATTAAAAATATTTTTATACATCTGTATGCATCTTTCCATATTTTTCATTCACGGGGAAATTTACCAATTCCTTAAATGAACTCTAGGGAGCAAACATCTGTTCAAGAAAAGTAGTCTTACTTAGTCTGGCCCTTGATTGCCTGTTATGGGAAATTTTGATTACTCTGTGACTCTCCAGACTGTCAATAAAATTTACCTTGAATCAGGGGCAGAACCAGTGATTAGCTGGCCAGAATTAGCCACAGAGAAGCCAGCAATTTTTGAAAATCATTTAGAGTTTATAATCGATATATCGTGACTTAGACTTTCTGTGGTTGAATTTTCTGCAAATCTATCTTATATCCTAAATAATTAATAGACTCTCCTCTTTGTATTTTTTCAGGAGCAATTGGCAATCCCCAACAAGACAAAATTTTCTTTACTTCATCAAACATTTTTTTCTAAAGTATCTGCATCTGAATCAGCCAGCAAAATAACATCCATATAATAATAAATTATAGATTGAGGAAACTGTTTACAAATTAGTTCTAATGGCTGTTATACAAAATAATGAGATAAGGTGGAGCTATTTAGCATTCTTTATGGAAGAATTTTCCAATGACACATTTTAATAGGCTAGAATTATTACAAGTAGATACTGTAAAGGCAAAATTTTCTCTATCCTGTTCTTGTAAAGATACTGTGAAAATAAAACTGTCTTTTAAATCAATCAGTATAATAGACCATATGTTAGGTAATAAAGAAGGCAAGAGAATTCCAGGCTTTAAAGATCCCTTTAACTGAATCACTGCTTAAATCTGATAACATTCTCCATTTTCCAGATTTCTTTTTAATGACAAATATAAGAAAATTCCAAGGATTGGTCAATTTCTCAATATGTTAAGCACTTAACTGATCCTGTACCAGCTGTTTTAGTGCCTGTAATTTTTTTGATGTCAGAGGCCATTGTTCCACCCACACAAGTTTGTCAGTTAGCCATTTTAAAGGTAGAGCTGTTGGTGCTTTTGAAAGATCAGCAGCTGTTATGCCCTGCTCATGTACAATCTGAACAGTCTGTGGCTGTTCTTCATAGACCTTTTAATATTTCTCTCAGAAGCATTCTTTATTTTATGATTTGTTTCTGAGATTGGAGGAATGTTAATCTGTGTTTTCCATTATTGCAATAAATCATATTCTCATAAATTCATTGATATATTAACCACATATTATTTTAATTTTCCTCTCTTTCTAGTCCTATACACTAGACCCATTTTTCACTTTGTTTTACCTGAGATAAAGTTCCAATCCCTAGAAGTTGAACATTTACTTTCTGAAGAGGCCAACTGGATGCTAAGATTTTGGTGAAATTATTGTTATATCTGTACCTGTGTCTATGAAACCCTCAATTTCAATGCCATTTATTTTTATTTTTAGCTCTTCTATGACAGTTTTCCAAAATGCTTGTTTTCTGGTCTCTTCTGAACTTTTTGTTGTCTCTGTTGAAGCTGTTCTATCTTTGTTCATGTCCAGAGCAGTGTGGTTTTTAACAACAGGTATTAAGTCTTTTAATTGTTCTGTGGATGAATTTCTTCAATGCTGCTAGGGAATGACTGAACCAAATTTGATGAAGGGGTTTGCTGGATGCCCCTCAGGGCATTTCCCAATAGCAAAGGGTTATCTTGCTTGTCCCTTGTTGATCTGCATTCATTAGTCCAATGCTGGTCTTTGTTACACTTCCTGTTTGAATTAGCTCTAGAAAAAAAATTGTTTCTAGGAAATTTTACCTATAATACCTTTTCAAATGACCTTGTTTACTGCATTTAAAACATCTGACATTTTGATTTTTCTTGAAATTTTTAGAAATCACTTCTCCTATCTAAGTATCATTGTAAGTGTGAGATCCAATATCAGCAGTATTTTGGGTCCATTTATCTATGGGTACTAATCTTGCCTTTAAGGGCCTAATAACCCTTTTGCATTGTGAACTAAGATTTTCAAAATCCAAATATTCAATTAATATTTGTATAACTTCTGAATATGGCATAGAGCCAAGGTGTTATCATCAAATGTAAACTGTCTTTGGAAATCAGCATACCTTCATCAAGAAGCTGGTCTTTGGAAATTTCAATACCTCTAGCCCTACTTTGTTATTCTGTGATCTTAGCTTCCTCTCTCCACCATGTTTTCCACTGTAATTGAGGACCAATATTGCTGTAGCTAAATCTTTCCAGTTTTGGGGACTAATTCTAATTCTGTTCTGAGTTGCCTGTGAATTTAACATCTGCTTCACAAAAAGTGAATGCATACCATATGAAATGAATGCTCCCTTAAATCTCTTCAAGTCTAACATTGAAACAGGATCCCAGTTAACTTCTGCATTGCAATGGGGGTGCGTATTGTCTGGTGACTGCTCTTGTGTGGCAACTGGATAAATTAAGGTTGGTTTTCTAATAACTTTAGACCACTCCTCTTCAGTCTCATAATGCAGTGGTGCAGTACATTCTGCTCTGTCTGTGTCTGAGTATTTTTCTTACTTTCATGAGTAGGTCTTTCTAAAGTTTTTATTTTATCAGTAGTAAGTCTTTCTAAAGTTTGTGTCATATCAATAGTAAGCCCTTCTAAGATTTGTATCTTATCTGTCAAATTTTTATTATTTTTATTAGTAAGTTTTCTAACGTTTGTATCTTATCAACAGTAGTCTTTCTAAGACTTATATTTTATCTGTAAAATTTTCATATTTGGCACAATTATCAAACCACTTTTTAAGGATAAAATAAGAATTACCAAACTGATAGTAATTACAATCACCATTATGCCAAACTCAGCTAAGTGATTCATCCCCTCATTTATTTTTTCCATTTGTAAGCCACCCATAGTAGCACTATACAGAATCATAACTCCTTGCACTATGATATTCCCGATTCTTAACATGGGAAAGATTTTTCTTTTATTATTATCTAACTCTCTCTTTAAGAATTTCCCAAGTGTCTCACCAAATCTGCTGACTTCTAAGTTTGCCCACAGCAACAGCATCAGCAGCAGAGGGCTTGAGCCTCTCCCACATTTTCCAAGCACAAGCCCACTTTTCAGAGTCCTGGGAATGGCTCTTGGAGAGGCCCAGACAGTGACTGTGGTGGTGCCAGCTGGCATGACTTTTCCATCTGTGTGGTCATGTCATGCATTAGAGCACCAAATGCAGTTTTTCTGTTGGCTTAGCAGCAGCACATACACCTACTGATATTTCAATTATCGTCTGTAGTCCCACGGCCATTCAATCAATGCCCTATTAGTCACTCAGGCCACTGGTGTGGGACCATGGTCTGTATTCTGTCAATTATATTTAAAATAAACACTGATTGGCCAGTAGCCAGGCAGGAAGTATAGGCGGGACAACCAGACAGGAAGTAGAGGCAGGTCAAGGAGAACAGGAGAATCCTGGGAAGGAGGAAAGGAAGCCCATTCCTCTGCAGTCCTTGCCCAGCCACAGAAGAAGCAAGATGTGACTGCCTCACTGAAAAATGTAGTGGGCCATGTGGCTAATATAGACAAGAATAATGGGCTAATATAGATTGAAAGAGTTAATAAGAAGCCTGAGCTGATGGGCCAATCGGTTTAGAGTTAATGTGAACTCTGTGTGATTTCTTTGGAACTTAACAATTGTGGGAACTGGGCAGAACAGAAACCCCCGACAACAAATGGTGCCCAACGTGTGGATGACTGCATCCACATAAAAACTGACAGAGCTTGGGAAGTAATTCTAGACAGAAAAGAATAAAGTTAAACATGGCTTATTGCTAGCAGCATTTTCTCAGATGGGCTCTGCTTGCTAGAGGCAAGTGCTTTCATTTAAGAGAAGCTTCCTGACTCAGCTTTAGCTGCAAAACTTTGCAGCTCTTTAAAGAGGTCCTGCCACGAAACACTTAAGTAGTGTTGATGAAAAGCTGGCCGCATGCTTTCTGTTGGTGCCAGGGACCTTGAAATGCTATAGAGTTGTGGTAATAAA